TTTGTGGTGGATGCCCAGCTGGTAACCAGAGGGAGATGTCTTTCTTTTGGAGACGATCGTCGTCCGTTACGTCACTGTGCCAAGTCGGCTTACAAAGGCTCTCCATGAGGCCCTCCCCCACACTGGTGAACTGGTCAGGGACAGGCTTATTGCCCATTACGATGTGAGAGCTGCCCCCCCTCTCCACACTGTGGTCCCTCAGAGGCTAACGCCTTCTTCCATGAGCCGCCTTCCCGTCGGAAAGCAAGGAAGCCCCTAGTCTGTAGCAAGATCCTGGGCCCTCCCTGCTTCGTAATTTGCTTCTAGAACCTTGCTTTAAAAAAAAATCATCTGGCTACATCTACTGCAAGTTCCCTTAGCCACTAAGGAGTAGAGCCAGGACTGGGACCGGCTTCTCCTGGAGGCCTGTCCGGTGCTCTGGGCCAAGCAGCCAGGCTCCCCTGCCCTGGACCTCCATGTCCCGGCTCTCTCTGCTTCCAAAACAGCCCCCGGAGATCGAGACCGGCGCTCAGGGACCGGCGAGGTGGGGGGTGGCTGGCTGGGCCGCTGTGAAGACCTCGGTGCATGGGCAGGGCTCTGCGTACCCGAGACATGGCGTTGGTGGGGGAGGGTGGTGGCAAAGGAGCTGCGGGGACCCTTTCTGCTGCCTGAGAAGCAGACTCTGGTCCGCCCCCAACATCGTCCCCGCCCCCAAGCTTGCCTGCTGTGCAGGCAGGTCCTCTGGGATGAAGAGGGGCTGTCCCAGACCCTTGCAGGCCAAGCACCCCCTCTCTGTGCAGGAGCCCTGGCCACCTGTTGTTAATCTAGCCCTGGTAATCCATTCTGTACTGTGTCAGCAGTTCAAAAGGGCACTGTTAGTATTTTTTGCCGACTTCAATTAATGTGAGATTTCAGAGGCCCCTCTGATCACATTTCATCTGTCACAAGTCAGGAACAAAACAGACAGGTTCCAGTCGAGAGGAGGAAGGAGAAGGAGTTTATTGCAAACACCGACCAAACAGACAGGGTGGGCTGTGCCCAGTGAAGGGCACTCCGGAGCGCCCAGTTGCTGCCGCTTAAGCCATTTGGCCCCATGCCTAGGCCCTAGTTCCCTTCTCGCCAATGTTCCTCCCCTCCCAAAGAAGATGTAAGTGCAATAACTTACTTTAAAAGGCAAGAAATGATTCTTTTAATAGTTTGCTATAATGTAGTTACACGGTGCTATAGGCAGTAAAACTTTATGGAACTGACCTCATTTTTTTTAAACATTTTTTCTGAATTTTTAATGTATTTTTAATATATATTTTTAATATTCCACCCCAGGCCATTAAGCTAAAGGAAAAGTTGCGTTTATACAGGGTTAAAATATCTTACAATGAGAACAGTCAGTGTTGGCTGAGGTTCACGTTCCTTGGAGCGCTCAGCTCTCTTTTCAACCACTGCACATCCAAACAGATCATTAGGCATTGAAAACTGTCCTTCAAAATCAGTAGTATAAAGGCCTAGCTCTATGTGTGTAAGTGAAGGGGAAGAGGGGAGGGCAGGATTAGGTAACGTTTGGTTCGCCAGAAGGCCTTTCCTCCCTACAGCATCCTCCGTGAGGTGAAGCGGGGTCGTTGCGACTTTGGAAGTAGGGCTCTCGTGGTCTTCTCATTTTTCTCTCTCATGGCCATGGGTGATTATCCTGGGGCCGGTTTGCCAACCATCCTGCCCCCAGCTAGTCTTGTTTGCCTTTGCCCCTGACAGGGCCATCAAGCAGACCAGGGGCCCCGGGGTGTCCTACGAGACGGTCTCCCCTCAACCTGGCTGTCTAAGCGAGATACATGGTCGCTTTCATGGACAAGCTCCTCTTGGCTACCCAGCCGAAAGGAGGGCCCATGGGGCACTGGAGCTGGGCCCCACGTGGCGACTGCCGCGGATGCTGGGGACCCACCTCGAGACTGCTGCCCCCGTCCCCTTGCAGTGTCTTCCAACCCACCTGGCCACCATGCTTCCCCGAGCTGGAGGCACGGTAGTGAGAGCGGAGAATCAAGTATAGCGGAAAGGATTCAAGAAAGGTTACAAAGTCCATGTCCCGCCCCCCCCCCACCCACCCAGTGCTGAGGGTGGTAGCAGCACCTTCGTGTCGAGCCCCGGACGCCTGGCCTTGTTCCCAGCGGGGCCCAGAGGCTCTCTCAGTGCCGAGGAGGCTGCCCGTTGGTCCACTGGCTCCTCAGGCTCTCGTCTCTGTCTCTGTCGAGACCTTAGGCACGCAGCCAAAGGGAATCCTCAGCTCGTGTAGCTTATTCGCTTGGCGGTGACCCACCGGGCCGGCTGGCGCCCCTCTCTGCCCACCTGCCCGAGCCCTCGCGCCCGAGGAAGCCAGCCCGCCAGCCCCGGAGAGTCCCCCCAAGTGTGCAGGCTCCTCGCAGGAGCTGCCGCAGGGACGCCTCCTGCCATCCAAGGTCTGGGCCTGGCCACCCGTGGGGAAGGCAGCTGAGGGAGGCCCGCCAGCAGAGAGGGGAGAGGCTGCGTGAGGCTCAGGCCCCGCGTGTGCCCCACTCCCCAGGGCAGTCACGCCCCCCTCTGTCCCCCCCCACCCCACAGCTGGGACCTTCTCATCTCCGTTGTGAAGGGAGCGTACTAAGTAGAGGGTCTTTAAGTCCCTCCCAGCGCTGGGTTCTCTGATTCTCCGAGTATTGGGCCAACCCTGGGGGGCCTGGGGCAGGGAACTACCTGTGGGGAGGTGAACAGGCACATTTCACCCCGACATTTTAATCATAAATACTTGGCTCTGTTGGTGGGAAGGGCAGCCAGAAAGCAGCCAGACAGAGGAATTGAGCACCAGGGGTCCCTTCCAGAAGAAGGGACCCCCCTCCCCCCCTCCTCTGGGGAATCTCCCAGTTCTCCATCTCTCTGCATGGATCCCCTCCTGGGTGAGAACATGTGTGATGAGGGTTCCTCCCTTGTCCTTGCCAGCCACCAGAGCCCTTAAGGGGAAGACAGGGAATGATTCCCAGCCTTAAGTGTTTCTTCCTTTCCCTTCCCAAATTTGGGGAGCCTGAGTTATTTCAGTGAAACTCAGAACTGCAAAAGGCTTCCTAAGAATCATTCCAAGGTCCTCGGATATATGGAACATTTAAAACCAACATTTAACTCCATGTCCAAGATGCTTTTCACTTCTAGAAGATCCATGTTAGAGCTATACGGTTCACAAAGAGGTCTGACTCTTACCAAGGGAGGCCAAAGCCAGATCCTTCCCCAGGCCTGTTTCCAGGGCTGATGAGAGCACAGGCAGAGGCGGGGACTGTGATTCCTTCTAAGCCTTGAGCAGCTCAAGGGCAGAGGATCTCACCCTCCACCCAAGCCAAGAGGCTGTCCTGTGTGCGGGCCCCCAAGCCTGCTGGACTTGGCCCTCCTCCCTGACTTGTCCCCAGGGGCTGCCTGCTGGAGGGACCTCTCGGGCTCTAAAGGCCGGCCCTGGAGGACAGGGACCGTGTGCCACTAGCTTAGGTGACGGCTGGATCTGGTGCCAAAACTCGAGCTGCTCATCTCCACTCAGGCAGAGGTGGAGTTCCTCCCCAGAAGGAGGCACCTTCCTGCAGGCAGGGAAATGGCTTCTGGACGGCATCCTGCCCCCCACATCCGGAACAGAGCAAGCGACCCAGAGGAGCGGAGCCCACCAGCCCTTCTAGAGGCTGGAGAGAGGGGGTGAGATTTCAGACTCCCTAGGGACGAAGGGCAAGAGCAGGCTCTCTCTGCCCTCGCCTGGAAGAACACGGGGCCCCCACCCACCGTGGAAGGCTCTGGGCAGGTAGGGTGCCGCTCCAGGGATGGCTGGCGAGGGACAGGCAGTCTGAGGCGGTTGTAGGGGCCGAGAGGCCAAACGTGAGCGCACATCCTTTAGCAAATTCCGCACGCTGCTCTCGACCCCCTCTGCCAACATGACTGCAGGCCCTACTCGTGTGTTCCGAGGTATAAGTCCTTCCACGCCAGGACACTGCTCAGCAGCCCTGTCAAGCGCCCAGAACGGGTGGGGGAAGGCACAAGCGTCTCCAGGTCCTCCTGGAGGGGCCTGGCTGGCTAGAGGACAAAGCTGCCCAGACCTGCCCACTGGAACAGGCATCCTGCGGGTTGTGGGGTGTCGGGCAGTCAGGAGAGCGGAAGTGAGTGCCTGAGCCCGTCCCTTCCTGGACACCTCCCTGCAGCTCCTCCTCTCTCTAGAAGCTCTTCTTGCAGCACTGTGGGTACTGTGGGTGGCCTGTGTCCTCCCCTTGCAGTGTTCACTGAGATCCAGAGTCTGCGGGTGCAAGGGAGCTGGAACGAGCCCCCGCAGGGACAGTCCACTCTCCTAGACGCCAGCATTGCTGGATGACAGCAGGATTCTTCAGCTCCAGCCCCTCTCCTGTTCTGTCCAGCGCTCCAGGTGGGTCCAGCGCAGGGGCACGGCCAGGGTGGGTGGAGGTGAGGCGGGTGCCTTGGGCCCAGGAGGTCAGATTCCGTGGACTTTTAGGAGGACAACGGGGGGGACAAATGGGAGGGGCAGGAGGCCAACTCTGCAGGACTCAGAACAGAACTCTGTTCTTCCGCCACAGTCACTGGCCCGGTGACCAGGGGACCACACGGCAGAGGAAAGGACGGACGTAACGGCACGTGGCCATTGCTCGGTCTGGATGGGAATCTAGCCTTGACTCAACCCTCAAACCGGGCAGGGCAGAAGAGCAGGAGTGGGGAGAAAGGGTCTTCAGCTTATAATGGATGCAAAGCTGCAAAACTCGGCCACCTGGCTTCCTCCACGGCCTCCAGCCAGGAGCGGGGGCTCGGCCTCGATGCCAGGGCGGGCGGGACCTGCTGCCCCCTCCCTCCCAGTGGCCCATGGGGCCTCACACTTGGGGTGGCTGAAAGTGCTGAGGGCCGGGCCCCTGGCCCAGGCCAGGTTCCTAAGAGGAAAGTCGAACGGGAGGCTGGGGGCCTGGGGAGCGTGGGCGTGGCCAGGGCCCCGAGGTGGGGGAGGGCGTGGGGACGGGCTGAGCGGTGCCCTGTCATGTGGCCCAGGAGATGGCCGCACTGTGCTCCTTGGCCTTCATGCGCAGGGCCGCGATGCTCGAGGTCTTGCGGTCCGGCTCGCCATTGAGCTCGTAGCCGTTGAGGCCTGGGCTGAGGCCCGCCGCTCCAAACAGGCCTCCCATGTGTGTCTGACCCACGTGGCCGCCAGCCCCGGAGACGCTCAGGAAGTCGGTGACTCCACTGGCCCCGGAGCCCGGGGGGTGGGTGTGAGGGGACATGCAGGCGGGCACCGGGTCACAGGGGACCACACAGGCTGGCACCGGTGAGGCAGCCCCATTGTTGCCGATCCAGGACGGGTTCTGAATCTGGGGAGAGGGAAGGGAGAGCCGGCTGGGGCAGGGGTGCGCGGGGACGGGGGCGGGGGGAGAGGCCACGTGGCGGGCGAGTGGCTGGCACCTGTCCCCAGACGACCTCACCCCGATCACGAGCCCTTCGTAATGCTGAGATCATGCCTGAGTGTTTACCCAGGAGCCTCTCAAAGCCTTTACGGCCACCCGGACCTGGGAGGGTTTGGGTTTTATGCTTGGCTCCCAGCAGAGAGAAATTGTTTTCAGGACCAAACTTCGAACTTCATCAAGGGCCCGGTCACAGGGCTGCCTTCAGGGCACAGCCAAGCTGCTGAGGGCGGCCCCCACCTCAGCCAGCTGACTTCGGAATTTGAGACGCAGGGGCTGACTTTCCCTCCCTGCGCCCCTGAAGGTCAGCAACTGTGTCTTACTCCCCTGTGGCTCCTCGCCAGGCCTGGGGCATCCCAGGAACCTGAGAAATGGGAGCTGACCCTAACTCAAGAGAGCTCTGGCGTTGGGAACGTGGGCTCTGGGCTTGCAGGTTGTGGCGTGGAGGGGGCAGGACTGGGCAGTGGGGCCTCATCTCCCAGTGTCAAGACCAGCGGCTGAGCTTCCAAGGGCTGTGTCCTCGAGACTTCACAACTGGCTCAGGATGGAAGGGGCTGCCTCAGGACGTGGTGAGCGCCCGCGGGTGGATGGATGAAGCCAGGCTGGATGCCCACAGGCCAGGGCGTGTGTGTGTGTGTGTGTGTGTGTGTGTGTGAGAGAGAGAGAGAGAGAGAGAGAGAGATGCTCAGGCAGCACGTGGGGGTGGACTGGAGGCCGACCTGGGCTGGGGAGGGCCAGGGTGAGCAGGGCCAGAGGAAACAAGACCTCTCAGCCCTGTGCATGGGATCACAGGGGGCCCTCAATCAGCTTCTGCTGGCCTGCTCTCCCCCCTACCCATGTTTGTAGTCCTCTCACATTGAAAGCCGAATGAGGGGGGACCTCAGCCCCCAAGTCCCACAGGGCATTGTCATGGCCACAAGAACCACTGGCAGATTGGCCTGACCACATTCCTCTTGCCTGGGGTGATGGGGAATCACCGGCCTTTCCCTTCCCCTCCGTCAGGAGGCGTGTGATATGTGGTGTTGCAGGTGGGAGGGGTGAGGCTGCCCCCCCTCCCCACTCCCTCCAGCGGGGAGCTCAGGCAGCAGAGATCCAGACCCAGGAGCCAGGCTGGAGGCTCATCCTCCCAGGACAGAGGACAGCGAGAGAGGAAAGCATGCAGCAGGAGCTGAGGATGAGGTGTGCCTGTGTGTGAGACACCCCACATTCCTCAGCCTCACCCCAGGCCTGACCCCCTGACCCCACGGATCCTGGCAGGGGGAGGGGCAGAGCTGGTCTGGGGGCGGGGGGAGGACGTTCCGGAGGGCCACGGGACAGTGGGTCTTAAAGGAAACAGGAAGGCCTGTGCCACCGGCTCGCTACTGGGTGGGGCCGGGCTTGGAGCTGAAGGCAGAGGCCATGCTGCTACGGCCACCAAGAGTTCTGAGGGGAGGGACCAGTCACCTCTGCTGGGCAGGCTGTGGGGTGTGAGGAGTGGACCCAGCTAGAAGAACATCTCTGCAAGTGCCCCGGTGTCGGCCACTGCTCACACTACTTCTCACCCCTTTGCATCTCATGAAGACCCCAATGCCCCTAGAACGGGGCCAGGCTGATGGTACGGGACAGAGGAGGGGACAGGTCGGGACACAGCCGCCTGGGAGAGCTCAGAGCTGCAGAGGGACCTTTAACCGGCTATTTAGTCCTCAGAGTACTTCTGTGTTGTCTAATTTCGGCCTTTCAACAACCTCACGAAAGAGTTGGGGCGGGTACTTTCATCATGTCCAGTTTTCAGAAGAAACCGAAGCTCAGAGCTCATGGCTTGTCTGAAGTGAGAACGGTCTGGGGCCGGACAACAGCGCGTCTCGGGACTCAGACCTCCCTGTTCGCTACAGCCCTGCCTCAAGCCCTGCAGCTTTCCCGACTTCGCTTTCCTAGAAGACATCGGGGTGGCTCCTGATGGCCTGGGGGCACTGGTCTTCAGCCTGCCTTGCTTCTGATGCCCACAGCGAAAGGGGCAAACATGGCAGAGGAGAAAGCCTCCCTCTCTGTCCAGGCCTGCCCCTCCCTAACGCCCAGCCAAGCCTGGGCCGGCACATAGAGTAGGCAGAAACGGCCCCGGCCTTCCACATTCTGGGGCGAACAGGCACACACCTGCACCGGGCTTGATGAGTCCCATCAGAGGGGGCCTAGGCCCTCCTCTGAGATGCCCATTCCCGGAGCCCGAGGGGCTGGAGCCGGCCACTCAGGGCTGGGACTTACCTGGGCATAGTTCTCCGCTCGGGTGAGGAGGGGCAGCTCGTAGGCAGTGGAGAAGTGGGTTCGAACCTGCTGCATCTGTCCAAAACGCTCCCTCTTCCTCCACTTGGCCCTCCGGTTCTGGAACCAGACCTACAGGACAGAGCAGTTGTCGCGGGGGGGGGGGGGCGGTCAGACGGTACACGTCATACCCTGGAGCCCGACCCATCGCAGTGCACGGTCTGGGCCATGGGGCTGCAAGGAAGGGTCTGCCTCAGCCTTTAGCCTCCAGGCTCACAATCTAGAATGAGCCGCGCTGAGGGTCGGGAAGGCGAGCTTAACCCCAACTAACCACAGTGTGCTCTTGGGCCAGACTTCGTTATCCCAAGCTTCAGAATGCAGAGCAGGCAAGTGTCGCACCTACGTGTCACGTCACTGGTCATCCTAGCAGTCATCTAACCAACCCCAGCACCGTGTGGCCTGGCCTGCCTCGGGCCACGGACTCCTGAGGGGAACCTGACAAAAGTTGTGACGGCTTCTCTCGAAAATCATTCTCTAGATGCTCACACACACAGTCTGGCCATAATTTTCCACAAGCTCCAGGGTTCCCTGGGGCCTGTCTGGTGGCCCAGAATCAGAATTCCTACCTGTCTGAGTCCTCTCTGCAGCCTTCGTGTTGACAAGTCTCCCCACTCGGGCCCCCTGTGGCAGCAGAGGCCTCAGGGATGGCTTCGTGGAGGGGAGGACCAGAGCCGGGCCCGAGCGTAGAAACAGCGGGGCATGCTCAGGAGACCCCAGAAGGCCCCGCTGCTCAGCTGGCCGGCGGTGGGAGAGAAAGACCCGTGGACGCCCGGGGGTTTGCTCTTGGTGTGGTTGGTAAAGGTGGCCACCGCGAGGTCTCGGGCAGAGAGTGGCCTGACTCTGAGGAGGAGTGAAGACCCCCCTGTCCCTGAGCAGGGGCCGCTGGGGCATTGGCTGGAGTGGGGAGGGTGGTCTCTGAGCCAGCTGTGTGAGCTGTGGTCTCTGATGGGTGGGTGGGGGCTGTTGGCTCCTTTGCAGGAACACTTCTGACAGGCTGAGAACTTTCTCAGGCTTCATGGACAAGAACTGGACTTGGGGCCTGCTAGCCCTGCAAGTGGCTTGGGATCTGGGGCCGGGGCGGGGTGGGGAAGGGGGCAGAGACAGGTGGGAGAGGGTGTGAGGAGGGGAGGGGTCAGCTTCCAGACCAGAAATGGCTTCAGGCTGAGTCAAAGGCAGGCCTCGGAGTCGCCAGAGAGAGGTTTCTGTCAGCTGCCGTGTCCCTGCCAGTGAACTCAGGTGCAAGTGGGCACACCCCAACGGCACCCCGCCAGCAGCCGTGCTGAGAGCCCGGAGCATCCTCGGAGGAGGGAGAAGGAGCTGGGCCGGAGGCAGGGAGGGCTCCCCGCAGGGTAGCGCAGAGGCTGCTCAGCCTGTTCCGGCTTCCAGTGGAGCCGCGCCCCCGAGCGCCCATTCCAGCCCTGGCATTGCCCCTGGCCTGGGTTTCTGTGTCTGGAAAATGGGGCCAATATCTGTACTGACGTCCTCACGGGGGTGGCGCCTCATAGAACGGCAGGTGAGAGATGAGAAACGCTGTCACAGAGTTTTTGAGAGTACTTCACACTCGTTTATTTATAGCTCCTGACCTTTCTTGCTGTCTTTCGTGAAAAGGAAAAGCTGGGGTGTGTGTGACTCATGTTAGTGTGGGGAGGGTGGGGGCAGGGAGCCAGTGTGGCACTGCACCTCAGTTTCCCTCCCTGGTCCCAAGGACACATGGGTGTGTGCACAAGTGCCACACACGCACGCGCGCACACACGCACGCACATGCACGCACACACGCATGGGCTGGCATTGCTTTGAGAGTCATTCTGCCTCCCTGACTTGAGTCTGGTGTAGGAGACGCACTCAGCCCCTGCTCCAGAGCCTCCTGGGCCCCTTTTCCTCCAGGGGCTCCTGGGGTCCAGGCCCAGGCCGCCTGCTGAGAGCCAAGGGCGGATCGGGTCTCCTCTCTGCACCACTGAAACGGGATCCCCCTTTATCAGTGGCCTGGAATGGGGGCCGGGGGGGGCAGGATGAGAGAATGAATCAGAGGAGCTTGTTTTCATTTCATGTTTAATTTCCTGCAGGCTTAGCTCCGTCTTTCCGCTCCTTCCTCAGCCTCCCAGGGTTTGCTGGGGGGGAAGCCAGGGGGAGGGGAGAAGCCCACTGGAGGCATCAAGATATATGGCTCCATTCTTTCTTCAGGGGGTGGGGAGAAGGTGAAGAAAAGTGTCCGTGGCCACCACTGTGGGGGGTTTGCCGGGAGCCCTGGTGGGGCTCTGGTGAGCGGCAGGTGGAGGGGTGCTCCTGGAGATGTCCCGCAGGCTCTGGTTGGGCTGGGGAGGCACTGCAAGGGGAAGGGGGCAGCCGGTCCCAGAAGTGGGAGGAGGAGCAGAGTTGGGGGGAGATGGAATGTGGGGGCTGGAGCGGCGGTGGGGGTGCTGGGTTATCTGGGAAGACAGCTGAGCAGCGGGGGAGCACACAGAGATAACGCTGTCTTTGGGATGGGAGTGGAGGAGGGCCCGGCCCAGGGGTGGAAGGGAGGGTTAAAGACCCAGAGACTTCGGGAGGCGGGAGGCAAGGCTGTGGGGCAGCAGAACCGCCCAAACCCTCTTCCCTTGCCTGCAGCCCTGGGCCCCGTTCCTGCGCAGGGCTGGAGCTCTTCTGCTAAGTGAGCCCCGCGGCTCTGCAGTCTCAAGCCTCAAGCCCCCCAGCTTGGGTGGCGGCCGGGCATCCTCACGGCCCCTCTGAGCTCACGGTGGAGGGCCTGGAGATGAGGCGCAGCCGTCCTTCCATCTCTGGCCCCTGGAGCCTGGCGCTCGGAGAGCTCCCCACAGATGCTCTGTGCCTCAGGGCTCTGCGGCCCCAGCCTGTCTCCATAGGACAACCCTAAGGGGGAGAGGGGACCACGAGGTCCAGCCTTCCAGTCTGCATGTCGCGCCCCAGGACCACCCCGCTCCCAGCCCACCCTGGCCTGGGCCTGCTCAGCACAGGCCTCTCCCCAAGGAACCAACCGTCTTGGCAGGGGCCTCAGTAACCGCAGCCCATCTGGGGCCAGGGCGGGGTGGCCCAGGGCGGGGAGGCCTCTGTCTTATTGTCTTCAGCACCAGCTGTGGAGATTGGAATCCCAGACAGCAGAGAGAGGCCCCTGCAGCCCCTGGAGCAGGGCCAAACCCCGAGCTTCTTCCCAGGAAAGGTCCATCTTGGAGCTGCCCACCCCCTCCCTGTCCCCAGCGCCACTCTACGCCAGGCACCTGGCTTCCCACCAGCTGAGTATGGGCCCTGAACAAACCCAGCAGGGGCAGGCAGGGGCTTCCACCACCACTCCCCCCAAACCTCGGGGCACTGCCAGGCTCGATCCAGAGGTCTGACGCACATGGAGATCCCACCCACCCTGCTGCCTTTATACAAAGAAAAGTCTCAGAACAATATGGCCCATGTCCTGGCAGAGCCAACTAAAGTAAAAGAAACACTGGGCTGGAGCTCTGGAGTCCTGGATTCTAGTCTTGGCCCTGCCCCTGAGTCACTGCTCCTGAGTCACCTGACCACAGGTGACCATGTCCCACCTGTGGGCCTCCTCCTACTTATTATCAAATGAGAGGACCAGATAGATGATCCTTTCCAGCACTAATGGTCTATATTCCTATGATCCTCCCCTTAGATGAGAAGATATGCAAACACATCAGCGTTTCCCTTTCTGCCTTGGCTGCCAGGAAGCTCAGGGTTGAAATTTGTGCCCAGTGGCAACTATGATTATTAACCTAGATGTTTGACGTAATTACCTGCCTATTTCATGGCACCGTTCTTGTTTTTAGATGAAACTAACAAGTCAGTCTTTAATTGTAGCTGCCTCAACTCTATTTTGGAAGCAGGCATAAATGGGTGTGTGTGCACACGCAGAGGGAACATTCTGCTTTGGCTGTGCGATGGCACCTGAAAAATGTTCTCTATGGCCCAGTGTCATTTCCATGATTTGTCTTAGAAGAGCCATCCTTCTTTTGATACTAAGTGAATTCTACTCCCGGGCACTCCCATGCACTTGTAAGGAACACACACACACACACACACACACACACACTGTGCAGAGGATGGATCAGTCGATCCCACATGAACAAGGTGCCTGCAGGAATGTCCCATAACCTGCCGCCCCCTTCTCCACCAGCTCCTTCAGTTCCTCCCAATCCAGGGGCTGGGCCGAGGCCAGGTTCTGGGGTTCCTGTCCAGACTCTGAGGCACAGGAGGTCACATGGCGGCCTATCCTGATGCAAATAGGACAGTTGGTGTGTGAATGCTTGTGGAATGACAGGAAAGCCTCACCTGCCCTGCCTTCCTTCCCCAACCGTTCACCAGGCACTGGGCAGGAATAAGAGGGGCAGCCGGACCCCGGGAACTTGTGGCCAAACAATCCGACTGTTTACTCTGGGTACCTGCAGTTTCTGGATGGCTGCATATTTATGGTAATTGCTGCTCCTTTCTCGCATGATCCATTTTGAATGAAAACGTTTCTGGACGATGTTACAGAAGCTCTGCCTTGTTACACAGAACATGGTTGTGACTGATGCCTTAGGAATGCTCTGCTGAAGGTTCCTTAGTGAAGTGAGGCAGCAGGGGGCGCCCTAGGGAACTGCGGATAACGGAAGGCTCTGTCCTGGCCCTGAACCCACTTCTGAGCTGAGCTTAGCCCAGCTGAGCTGTGTTGCTTTAAAAAAAAAAAAAAAAAAAAAAAAAAAAGCCAAGAATTGCTCTTTGCTCTCAAGCTGTTGACTTCCCTCACCCCACTGGAGGGGGAAAAACCGCTATCTGACAGCACTTTATTTGCCATTCCTCACATGCTCTGGGGTGGAAAAGTAGACTGAGCATGACATTTATTTGTGTGAAGCTGAAGCCTGAGCTTTAGTGCATGGATTTTGTCTCCTGTGTTTTGGGTACTCAAAGGTCTTTGCTTCCTCTCTGGTTCTTTTCTTGCTGTAACTTCATGCGAGGAGGGAGGACACACCTCTCTGGACAAAGGAGGTCCACCAATCTACAAATATTTATTTTTTGCCCTTGTTGCTCTGAGTTCAGCCTTCTCTAATTGGAAGGAATATAGTGATGAACAATCAGACAGTACCTGTCTTCAAAGAACTCACATTATAGTGAGAGGAGACAGACAAAATAATTTAAGCCAGTCATATATTCCATAAAGAAGAAAAAACGGGACAGGAAGAGGGTGACCTGATTTGCTTGTGTTGTGTTATGTTGGTTTGGGATGAGTTGTGTTGTGTTGTGTTGGCTGTGTTGGTTTGGGTTATGTTGCGTTGGGTTGGGTTCTGTTGGGTTGTGTTGAGCCGTGTTGGGTTGGGTTGACTGT